TTCACGCCCCCCCCCCCGGGGGCAGGCCCTCCAGTTTGGGAAAATATGTCTTGACTGTACATTTATAATATGATACAAGCACGTCTTGCACGCATCTGCCATCTATGCTCACACACACAATTCTTGCTAACAGAAAATGGCCGAACCCCAACACACAGACTCTTACTCATCTTGTCCACAAAGGCTTTGGGCAAGCGCTGGCGTCTGATCATTACTGGGAAAGGGTCTCTGCCGTCGTTGCGAATATGTCTTGACTGTACATTTATAATATGATACAAGCACGTCTTGCACGCATCTGCCATCTATGCTCACACACACAATTCTTGCTAACAGAAAATGGCCGAACCCCAACACACAGACTCTTACTCATCTTGTCCACAAAGGCTTTGGGCAAGCGCTGGCGTCTGATCATTACTGGGAAAGGGTCTCTGCCGTCGTTGCGCTCGTGGATTTCCCGAACCTCCACTGTGTCGTCCGCCAGGTAGTAATGGATGATGAAAGACCGGTTCTCGCCAAACATGTTCTCCGTGTCGTCCCATATGGCGTAGAACCGAAGGACCTGCATGAGTTGCGGAGTCAAGCAAGGGCCAGAAACCCAACATAAAATGAAAATGTGCCCTGTCCGGATAAAGCTGATGCAATTTGGGGTTGGTGAATGCAGAAGGATCCCACCTGGAGCACAGGGGTGCCAGTTGGACTGTATTAAGCACTGGTGTGAGATACTTTGGAATCCTACACTCATTTCTGGGTCAGTGAGGCTTAGAGGGAGACAGTGCAGAGAAGAGAAGCAGAACTGATTCAGCAGCAGGAAGGTTTTGACTAACAGACCCACACAAGAATAGCTGAGCTAGGCAGCAGCTGAGGGGAGAGAAGACTCAAGTACAACAATCACAAACACTAAGGAGGGACAGGAATTAGGGTACTTCAGGGGACAGGAGGAGGAAGTAAATGATCAAAGGGAACATTGGGGAAAATGTCCTAACAGTGAGACATATCAGTCACCAACAGCAGTTCAGCCTGGTAACTAGGCTGGACCTGGAGCAAGGAGGATCTAGTGTGTGGGCTGAGCAGTTCTGAAGGAGGAGCTCAGAAGCAGCCAAGCCTGGGGAGAAGGGGGGCTGAACTTCACATTCTCTTCTTATCAATTTGATTGTTAACAAAGTCAGACCATAGGGAAGGGGATAAATTGGGGGTCTGCACAGTGTGGAGATTGCATTTTCAGAGCAGCCAGGGGAAGGTACTTGCTCATGGGACCCACAGGCAATACATACAACCACTTTCCTGAACCATTCTGAATCACAGACATGCAGAAGGAACGACCCACCCAAGGCAAGGCACGTGCTCCCCTCTCACCTTCTTGTCAAAGGTCAGAAACTGTTTGAACTGGTCGAAGTCCGACGGCGTGACGTACATGCGAATGGGCATCTTCCGGAGCTCCGTGTATGAGTCAAAAATCATTTTCTCAGGAGGATTCAGTTCAATTCCTTGACTCTCCAGAAAGACCTAGGGAAGGTGTCTGGGCCATTAATGCTGTGATAGGATCTCAGGGTCAAGAGGCAAGGGAAGCTCTGGGCTGGGTTTGGCAAGGTGTTACCAGGGACTATAAGCTTGCACTGCTTGCAGTTGCACCTAGATGCTCTAGTCTTACTGTGCCAGGTGCTGTACAATAATCAGAGAATTAGCCACTTTAAGATCCAAAGGGATCATCATGATTTTATCATCATTCTCATTAATAAAGGTTCCATTGCCTCTGCATTTCCACAGCCCTTACTACAGGCCAGATGCCTGTCTTCCCTCGGGCAAACCTCCCATTGGCTCCACTTTTTGCCCAAGCAAAGACTGAAGAAGGACTTTGGGCCTTGTCCCTTTATGTGTCCATTACAAATCAAGCGGGCAAGTCTCTCTTTTTGGTAGAATTTGAGTTATCCCTGGAAAGTGCCAGCTCTGGAAAGCAGAGCCCTATTTCTAGACGCATGGCACTCAGCTGAGAGAGCCCCCGATGCCAATGGGACTGCTCGCTGGCCTGTCACCAAGATGTGGCCCAGAACACCTGCCGTTTGAGAAGCAGCAACACAAGCTGCTCCACTGGGGAACTGCCCCCCTGCGTTGGAGAGACCTCTGCTAGGGCTTAGAGCAGTGGTTTTCAAACTAGGGATCGTGGCCCAGCACTGGGTGGTGGCATGTCAGGCACTGGGTCTCAGTGGTGCAGGGGGAGCGGGTGACCAGTGGGGATGCTAAGGGGTTGCTAAGGCCCTGCACCCCAGAAGCAGTCGGTAGCAGGCCTGGCTCCTAGGTGGGGGTGGGGGAGCGCACAGGGAACTAGCTCTGTACTCTCATTGGCCGGGAGCCTGCTGCTGGCTGCTTCTGGGGCACAGCATGGTCTGCGGTGCCAGGAGAGGCAGGAATCTGCCTTAGCTCCCCCACTGCACCATTGACCGGGAGCTGCTCGAGGCAGGCTCCTCCTGCTACAGTCCTGACCTCCCAAAGCCAGAGCCCCCTCCTACAGCCCAAAGCTCTCATCCTCAGTCCCTACACTCCAGTCAAATTATGTTGGGTTGCAAGCGACAACTATTTTCTTCAACTGGGTCATGAGAAAAAAAGTTTGAAAACCGCTGGCTTAGTAGGATGGGTCAGGCTGAATGGCTTTGAATCACTGGCCTTGAGGAGGCCCATTTGTACTAAATGTAGTAACAAATTTGAGATGCAGCCACTTTGAAATGGGAACTGGATGGCTTCGTCAACTCATTGCATATAAGCTTCCAAACAACCGTAGGCTGCGTCTAGACTGGCATGATTTTGCGCAAATATTTTTAACGGAAAAGTTTTTCCGTTAAAAGTATTTGCACAAGAGAGCGTCTACACTGGCATGTGCCTTTGCACAAAAGATTTGCTTTTGCGCAAAAGCATCCGTGCCAGTGTAGAGGCTCTCTTGCGCAAGAAAGCACTGATGGCGATTTTAGCCATCGGGCTTTTTTGCGCAAGAAATTAACTTGGCTGTCTACACTGGCCCTTTTGCACAAGAATACTTGCGCAAGAGGGCTTATCCCTGAGTGGGAGCGTCGGAGTATTTGTGCAAGAACCACTGATTTTGTACAATACAAAGTCAGTGTTCTTGCGCAAATACTCACGGCCAGTGTAGACAGGCGGCGAGATTTTGCGCATGCTTTTGCGCAAAATCTTGCCAGTCTAGACGCACCCTTAGAGTGCTATCAGGGACTGGATTTACAGCCAGTGTAAACAGGCCAACTCCACTGACTTCAGTGGTCATTCAGTTCCAGTTTGCCCCAGCTCTGTCGATGTGTTGTTACAACCCTGGGGGGCAGAAGTATCAGAAATGGGCGTGAGGGGGTCAGGCATGACCACTACACCTTTCTCTTGGTCTTATGTGGCGAGGGGCCCAAGTACTGAAGAGACAGAATCCCTGATCTTACTCCTGTGCTGGAATTAGTGGGTTGGGAACAAAGCGGGGATTCTAGTTAGCCCATCGCTAACTCCTAGGATTCTCTTATTTGGCTTAATTCTCTGCATCCCTGATGCACCTGTGTGAACGGGTCGCAGTCGACTATGCGGAAAGTCTTGCCGTAGATGGTGATGTTCATGCCCCGATTCAGGTCTTTCCAGTGGTAATGGTCCCCACGGTCGTTCTTGGGTATCCGCTGGCGTTTGATGAGCTTGCCCTGAGGAATACCAGAGTTCTCCACAATGGGCTCCATGACAGACATGCTGTCATCCTCCAAGTAGTAATAAATGCCCACGTGGCGGACCCGGAAATGCTCTTCTGTGGAGATGGGAACATCTTCCTGGAAATAGGCATCAAACTTCAACACCTGCAGTGATGGGAAGGACCCCGGAAGGAGAGACGGAACCGACATTAGCGACAGCATTAATCAAACGTCATGTTTGGCAACATGGATCCCTAAGAGTAGTACTTGTGATACCATTGAGGGCCCCAGAGGCTGACCGGGGTGGACTGCAAGAGCATCATGGGAGTTCTCGCTGTGGATGGCTTTTCTAGAGCCCAATATTTTGTACATTTCCCCCTATGTGATGCACCTGGAGACCAAGTGTAAATGGCTGGAATAAACGTAGCATCTTCCCCACCCCCAAATGAACTCCAAGGCTTTCACACTCATGGGCCCCATTTTGCAAGTTCCCGTTTGAATCAGTTTACACAAGCTTCTTTCATACACTCAGCCCCAGAGAGGCCATGTGGCTGCCAGCTCCCAATGGGAGAAGCCATTCTCACCTTCTCTGGCTCTGGCCTGAATGGATTTTAGAATCTGCCTCGCTTGCCTGCAGTTGCAGCCAATGGTTGTTAGCTGGGCCATCCGCGGCTGCTCAGGAGGGATGACTAGCTGACTAGCAGGGCACCCCCAGCGAGGTATTTTGTTTCAACGGGCAGTGCATATAACAATGACTCCGCATGTGGATGTGCACACGGATGTTCCCTGCCTGAGGGGTGAAAGTAAGGCAGCGTGGTGCGCCCCGATCTACCGCTCCGGTCCAAGCCGGCGGGGGCACGTGGCTGCAGGAGGAGGTGGCTTGCTTCCAGCCGGGCTCCTATAGCTGCCATGCTAACAAGCAGGCAGGTGAAAGGGGCTGATTGGGGATGCGCCTCACACCAGTCTGGAACTGCCCAATTCCCTGCAGGGTGCTATTAGGAAGGGGGGGAGAAGCCCCCCCAATTCCTACTGGAAGTGTTTGTTGCTTCTTTCACTGCTAGGGAGCAAGAGGAAAGGACAGTGTCCCTGCCTTCTTCTCCCTCCTACCTGATGTAGGGAGGGGGCAGAGGACTAACTGACCTACCCCGTGTGCTTTCCTCTCACTCCCGGGCAGTGACAGAAGGAGAACAGCAAGCCACAAGCAGCGTGGGTAGGAACCAGGGGAGGGGGGCTTTAGCCCCAATCTTCCCTAAAGGGTGCCCTTTCCCCTCCTGATCCCACTGCACACAGCAACCCCCTGCCTTAAGCCCCTCTGCACTTCCAGCCCCTGCCTTGATTCCTGCTACGCCCACGCATTCCACCCCTCTTCCTGGAGCCCCTCCTCACCCCCCCATCCCTGACTCCTGCACTCCCACCTCTCATGCCCAGTGCCTCCTGCACTCCACCCCATACTTAATTTCTTTCAGGTACTGTCATGGTACAACAGTACCTGTAAGAAACTCAAGTTACTTTCACCCCCTGCCTCCATGAGACCCAGGGTTACGCATTTCCCCCCAAAGGGTGTGGAGTAGCCTCTGAGCTGGCCAGTTATGCTCTAGGGAGCATAGCTTCTGCATTTCCCCTTGTGCTTTAGGAGCTCAGAGTGGGATTGAAGCTTGCTGAGGCATGCTTCCTCTTGAGCTCTGCATGGGTGGGTGCAGCAAGTGCATCAAAAACACAATCTGGCCCTGAGCTGACATGCTGAACAGGCAGGAGGATGCTGTGGTGATGAGCATAGTATAACCTCCAGCTGACAGCTCAGCACACAAGAGGTGCCTGCTTTGCACAGGCCCTTGCAGGACCCTGAGAGGGTGGGACTTACAGGAAAATAATTATGACGTGAAGCAAGTAGAGTTCATCCAAGTTCTCTACTGCTGGAAATGTCCTTACGTAGAATGTTTTATAATGTTTATTTACTGTAATCCTCTTCCTGAGCAAAGAAAGGCTCTTTCAATCCAGCTGTCAGTTGCTGATGACTAAGGACTATGGCATCTGGAAAATACATTCTATGCTGTCTGGTCCCCAAACCTTGGAGTTCATGGCTCACAGCCCCGGGTTTGGCTAGCAACACTCCTGCAGTCAGGTTCTCTGTACCTTTTTGTCAAAAGCCACATGTGCTGGAATGAAGTCGGAAGGTGGGGCCTGCTTGGCTTGCCCGTAGGTCAGCGTGGGTCTCTTATTGGACAGTTCATCTAATTCAGCCTGCGACAGCTGGTTCACATAGAGTCGCTCCCTGCCTATCCCCACCGTTGGTAGCCGAGAATAGGCAAAGCCGTTCCTGTAGCCCAGTGTCTGGGAGCGATGGAAAGCCGATTTCTAAGGAAAGCAATTTAACCATTAAATACCCTTTGGCACTGCTAGAGCTCGCGACACAAAGCAAAATCTCTCACTGAAAAGCAGCACCAGGCATCAAATATCCTAAAAATCACAAAGCCTTGTGCTGTAATCGCTTGTAACAGATGGTTTGGGAAGCAGGTCTGGATTGGAAATCAGATGAGTGAAGCTAGAATTCAGATCTGGCTCCGAAAGCCCCTTAATCTAAAGGAGAATCTCAGTTTGTTCTCAGCAATATAGAGTCTCTGACACACTGCTGAGAAGTTCTGCTTCCATGCCCCAGAAAGAGGTGGGAACCAGCACCTTACAATACTGGGAAAGAAAACTCCTTACCAGCCCCAAATCTGTGCTCAGTTTGTCTTGTGCGTGTGAACAAAGCTCCCAACAGTTAAACCTCTAAGTCTATTTATAGTCCCAAGGCACCGCTGACAATCCAAGCACTTGCCCATTTTTCCTTAAACCCAAATAGCCTGGCCTCTCCCAGCTCTGTGCAGGAAAGAGCAGCAGTGAAACGAGAGGGTTTATTTAAGGAAAGTTAATAGAAGGTTGCATCCTATAATCCCATCAAGGACTATTGAGGAAATCAGGTTCATTGCAAGACATTGAGTTTTGAAAGAGGTGTGGGAGTAACCAGTCAGTAGTACTGGGGTTATCAGGGGCACCAGTGAGTGTATCAAGACAGCATGGAGTCTACCCAGGGGAGCATGAGCTGCTTTCAGGACTGCTGGGCACCCAGGGCATGGGGGTATCCGACCAGTATATTGGAAGGGGAGCTGGGGGACACCACAGCCCAATAGGAGGGTGCTGGGTTCCCATGAAGGTAGCAAGGAGGCAGGGGGTCACCCACTGTTTTGGAGTATCAGGCCCCATGGGGCACAGAGGTACCTTCCCTGGAGCGATCAGGTTCTCATGGGAGGTATCAGGAGGGCATGGGGTTCCTGTCTCTCCTAGCATGGAGGGGAGGGTATGACAAGAGCATGGGGCTGTTGGTTCCAAGAGCACCAGCAAGGCTCGGGGATCACTGGTCCGGGGTATCGGCTGCCATGGGGCTCCAAAGGGAGTTTTATGAAGACATAGGGATCCCTCTGACAAGGGTTTCAGGTGCCATAGGGGTCTTCGGGGGGCAGAGGAATCCCTGTTCTGGGGTATGGGCCTGAGTTTATCCAGCCCAGGGGTCTCCCT